CGGACTACGCTGAAGAACGGTACTATAGCTACATCTTCTTAACACATAGTTCAGCCGAGAACAACAAACTTAAACAGAAGCTAAACGACGACTTTGCCAAAGGCACTGACAACTATCCCCATACTACCCATGGCGTATTACACCTCTTGGACAAACACACCAAGAGTAACACCCCATGACAGTCCACTTCCCACGGAAGCTCCTTTGCCCAGACAGCACAGGGCGGGAGAGGACGGGGTGGTGACAGAGGAAGAGGCCGCGGAAATGCAACCTTTGACAGCGAATTCTGGAGAGACAAAGAATGCTACAACTGCCACAGGACAGGACATCCAGCCTCGCAATGTCCAGACAAAGAAAAAAATAAAGATGACGACGATAAGTCAGAACAAAGCAAGTCGAGCAAGCGTAGCAAGTCGAGCAAGAAAAGCTCGAGTAGCAGTCAAAAGAAGACCTTAGCTACACTCAGCAAACTGCAGCGGACACTGACAACCCTGCAGGAAGAACAAGACGAAGCTGACTCTGACATCACGGACTCCGATTCAGAGAAATCGAAGCAAAGCCATTTTACGTTCGTACCGTTGTTCGCGGACGGAACCAAGAAGCACGCAAACGGAAAGCGCGCGAGTAGAATAGTCGCCTACACAAAAGGATTGGATGACAAAGATATGAGAGAGGTCCAGCTACTGGACAACCAGTCCACGTTGGATTTATTCTGTAATAGAGACATGGTTACCGGCATTAGGAAAGCCGATCGTCCTATTACAGTGAAGAGTACCGGAGGCAAGCTGAAGGTATCGCACATAGCCAAAATACGCGGCCACAAACAGAGAGTATGGTTCGATGAAAGAGGAATCACGAACATCCTATCTGTTAAGAGTGTCCGCAAGAATTGCGACATCGTCTACGACTGTCCGAAAGGAACGTACACAGTCAAGAGACCAGGCCTACCGGACGTAGTATATGAAATGAACAGTGAAGGATTACACGTTCATGATCCTAGGAAACAAGGGAAGGTACTTGTAAACACTGTCGCCGAAAATAAGGAAGGCTTCAGCAAACGACAAGTTAAAGCCGCATCAAAGGCGAAGCTGTTGTATAAGCAACTCGTCTATCCATCGATTAAAGACTTTCGATGGGCGATTATGAGCAATCAAATCGCAAATTGCCCAGTGACCGTTGAAGACATTGACACGGCACAAGCAATATGGGGCAAGGCTATTGATGCGCTAAAAGGCAAGACCACTCGCAAGAAACCAAATGCAGTGGCAGGCAACGCAATGAAAGTACCGAGAGACTTTTTGCAACTACACAAAGATGTGTTCCTGACGATGGACATCTTCTTTGTGGCAGGAATTCCGTTCCTGTTAACTCTAAGCCGTAAAATAGATTTTACAACAGCTAGACACCTGCCCAACAGGAAGCTGGAGACCATCCTAGAAGGATTTAAGGAGGTTTATCGATTTTACAAGGCTCGTGGTTTTAAAATCACGACTGTTCACGCAGACAATGAGTTTGAACCTCTGTCCAACACAATCATGGCAATGCCAGGTGGACCGGTAGTGAACGTAGCCAGTGCTAATGAGTACGTACCCGAGATCGAACGGAGAATCCGGGTAATCAAGGCAAGGACACGAGCTGTCCGGCATAGCCTACCGTTTATATGCATGCCAAAGATCTTGACCGTCAACTTGGTGTTACAAGTTGTCAAACAGTTGACGTACTTCCCAAGCAAAGCGGAGATCAGCGAGACAAAGAGTCCCCGAATGATAATGAAAGGAGAGACCCTGGACTACAAAAAGCACCTGAGCCTGCAGTTCGGAGATTACTGCCAGGTGCATGAAGAATACTCGCCCCGTAACAGCATTGTTGGATCCACGAAAGCGGCCATCTGTATGGGAACGAGCGGAAACAAAGGAGGAGGTTACAAGTTTATGAGCCTCCGCTCTGGCAAGAAAATTACTAGGCATTCGTGGGACAAGATCCCCATGCCGGATACAGTGATAGCTAGAGTCGATCTATTAGGAAAGGATCAGCCTAAACTACTCGTTTTTACTGACCGAAAGAATAAACCTATAGGTGATGTCGAGATCACAGGAGTGGACGGGGAAGAGGGCACTAACGCACCCCCACAACAACAACCTATGCTCCAAAATGATGAAGACCTGGACGCCGAAACCATTGATGAAATGGAAGATGATCCCGACGAACACCTGGACAGCGACGACAAAGCTTCAGTCAACGATCAACCGAATGATGTTGAACCGAATGCCGAACCAATCGTCGAACCGACCGTCGAACCGGCCAATCAGCCTATTGTTGAGACGGTAGAGGAACCGGAACCTACAACCGACCAACAGCCCACGGAACAGAATCAGGAGTGGGCGTTCCAGCCCAAGCGGCACCTGAGCAGATGCCAGGAGTGCGCAGGTCCAGTAGGGTGAGGACACAAGCAAAGGAATCGCATATTCCTAGCTTCTCCGGAAAGAAGTATGAGACGACCAACGTCCATACAAGTGAACGTGTTCTGCACCCAGATGCACACATGTTCTACACACAGGTAGAGGAAGAGCCTGATGTGGTAGCAGCCATCATGACACAGTTGTCATTAAAGGCTGGACTCAAGGAGTGGAAGGACAAACGCACGATGCAGCCTTTGCCGAGATGAAACAGTTACATCTCAGGGACACCTTCCGTCCTAAGAAAATGGAAGAACTCAGCGAAAAGGAACGCACGAGTATCCTAGAGTCACACCTGTTCCTAAAGTTGAAAAGGAATGGGAAGATCAAAGGCCGAGCAGTTGCCGGAGGCAGCAAACAGCGCGACTTCATCTCCAAGGAAGACGCAAGCTCGCCAACAGTGTCGACAAAAGCAGTGCTACTCTCCTGCATAATTGACGCTGAAGAGGAAAGGGACGTGGCAGTCATTGACATCCCGAGCGCCTTCATCTAGACACGAGTTGAGGATGCAAAAGATATGGTAATCATTAGAGTAAGAGGAGTACTAGTAGACATGCTGGTTAAAATTGCCCCAGATGTCTACAAACCGTTCGTGACAACGGATAAGAGAGGCAACAAGCAGTTGCTGCTGGAATGCTTGAATGCCATCTACGGTACCATGGTAGCCAGTCTACTATACTACCGCAAGTTCCGGAAGACGATGCTCCGGAACGGATTTAAAATTAATCCCTACGATCCATGTGTAGCCAACAGAATGGTACACGGCAAGCAACAGATAGTCTGCTGGCATGTAGACGACTGTAAGCTCAGCCACAAGGATTCAAAGGTGAACGACCAGCTGATCCAAGTGCTTCGTGATGAGTACGAAAGCATATTTGAGGACGGCACTGGAGAGATGACAGTGAGCTGAGGAAAGGTCCACACGTATCTCGGAATGACCATAGACTTCACGACAAAGGGTCAATGCAATGTATCAATGTACAAGTACGTTGACGAAATCCTGGAAGCCTTCGAGAAGGCAGCACCAGAGGAAGGGGGAGACCTATTCACAGTAGACGAATCCTGCAAGAAGCTCCCAACGAGCAAAGCAGACGCCTTCCACAGTCTGGTGGCTAAGGTGTTGTTCGCTACGAAGAGAGCCCGACCAGACACAGGTACGGCGATATCGTTCCTGACGACTAGAGTCAAGGAACCGGATAGGCAGGATTGGGATAAACTAGTCCACCTCATGCAGTACATTAGACGTACTAGAAAGCTACTATTAGTTCTCAAAGCCGATGGAAGCGGCATATTGAAATGGTATGTGGATGGTTCTTTCGCAGTCCATCCAAACATGAGGGGTCATACCGGAGGTGGTTTGACCATGGGCACAGGTTACCCATTATCGACTTCGACGAAACAGAAGTTGAACACGAGAAGCTCGACTGAGAGCGAACTCGTAGCAGTTGATGACCTGATGCCATCGATCCTTTGGACGAGGCAGTTCCTATGGGAGCAAGGCTATGTAGTTAAAGAAACTATAGTCTATCAGGACAACAAGAGTGCCATACTTCTAGAAAAGAATGGCAAAGCTTCTAATAGTAAACGAACGAAGCACATCAACATGAGGTACTTCTAAGTGAGCGACAGAGTCACAAAGAAGGAGATCAGTGTGGACTGGTGTCCAACTGATGATATGGTTGCGGACTTCTGGCCGAAGCCGAACCAAGGTCGACTGTTCAAACAGAATGTGGACAAGTTGATGGGTGTAGTGGAACACTCAGAGCCAGGGTGCTCAGTAGGAGGGTCACGGCCGGACAAGAAGGTCCGTTCAAAGAAGGAGCGCTAAGCAGAGTAAGTAAGTAAGCATGTTCGACGACTAGGACAAGCTCGATGACCACAGTTGTGTGTTGGGGATTTGCGATTAGGGATTCATGCCCTTTACCTCAGTACCAGAGTACTAGAATTTTACACCAGTAGCAAAACTGGTAGCCCACCCACTTTTTCAGTATTATCTCAATAGCAAGTCAATGGTAAACTAGAGAGCTTAGTGAATCTAACACCCATGGCACTCATGAAATGCTAGAGACTGAAGGCCGGGCAATTTGTAAAGCTCACCTGGTACTGAACCTAGATTGAATGACAGTATCAGATTCCAATCTGCTGACCAAACCAAAACAAAGCACACATACCTATTAGATCAGCTCTCCCCACATGCAATGTCAATAAGTTGCACAGTCGTCCAATCTCAGAAGGAATATGTCCACGAATTGGTGTCATCAGAAATTGCAGCACTTTCCCATTAATAACTGCCTACCACAAATCCCTCCAAACCGATGGCAATTTGTGCAATGTTTCTGTCATGCGCCAGCTGCAAAAATATACCAGAAATTATTCAATCACTTTTAGCCCTGTTGCCCTCGGTTCCCATTCCTCTCAGCCCCCTACATAACCCTGCCACCCCCTTTATTGAACCACATCACCATCCATTCAATATTGCCGACCACGCACTGCCCTGCCTTAGCTGCCAGTGCCAAAAACAGTCACCTTGATCAAACTAGCTAGTTAATTAGGTTTGCAAGGACCACAATCACACCCACAGAGGGAAGTGCCATGGCAAGCTGTTGTGCTGGTATTCACTCGCAAGACTTTACATGGTGGAGTACCGAAGCATATCATTTCCTGCTCGTACATTCTGTCACACAGCTCTTCAGGGATGCTGCCCGACAAGGATGTGTCTGTGACTACCAAGTTGGTCAATTTCTCCAGCATTAGTATTTCTGTAGGGAGGGTCCCAGAAAGGGTGGTATTCTGAAATTCTAGTTGCCAGAGACCAGACAGTCGACCCACTTCTGTAGGAACAGTGCCCGAGAAGAGGTTGTCACTGATGTCTATGAACTGCAAGTGAGAAAGTTTGGAAAAGAGAGCAGGTGGGAGTGTGCCCTGCAACTTGTTGGAGCCAACATTGAGGTCGGTTAGCTCTGAGAAAAGCAAACAAAGGTGAATTCTGGTGTCAAAGGTCAACTCTAATGCAATACAACACAATATCATGTTTCTGCACTCACGAGTCAGTTCAAAGAGCTCGCCCGGCAAAATTCCAGAGATTGAGTTCCCATGCAAGTTCAGGGAGGCCTGTTGATTTGTATATGCGAGATCAGTGTACTTGCAAACCATAGCCTATTCAGTGTCAAATGTGATTGCTCGGATCTTGCTTACCAGCTTTGTCAAGTGACAAATCTCACTCGGCATAGTGCCATGATTTGTCCAGTCCTCCAAAGCGAGGGTTTTCAGTTCTGTCAGCTTGCCAAGTTCAGCTGTACGACAAGGAGTCTAAGAAAGTGAGTCATCCTTGTTTGCAACCACTGTCATACCAGCATGACTTCTTACATGGAATTGGCAATACATTCCCACTGCCCCGGCTTGATAGTCCAAGAATACGAAGCTGTTTTGTATTGTGAATAACTTCTTGAAGGATATATTCAGTTTCCAGCCCAGGGCACTCATAAATTGATAGAGACTGCAGGGCAGGCAATTTGTAAAGCTCACCTGGTACTGAACCTAGATTGAATGAAGAAATGAGGTTTCCAATGATGATCTGCTGACCAAACCGAAACCAAGGGCATACCTGTTAGATCAATTCTCACCACAAGCAAGTCCGAAAAGTTGCCCAGTCGTCCAATCTCAGAAGGAATATGCCCATGAATTGGTGTCACAAGAAGTTGAAGCTCCTGAAGACTCTGCAGTTGACCCAACTCGGTTGGAAAGGAGCCATCAATGTTTGTCGCACTCAATACTAATCGAGTCAATTTTGTCAGAAGTCCAATCGCACTTGGGATGGTGCCCTTGAGTTGCAATTGCTGCTTCACTTCGATCGACTGCAAGCTTTTCCCCAGCATGGAAATCTCAGGAGGAATTGTTCCTTCCATGTTATTGGCAGTCTCGAATATCAGCGCCTTGATTTCTCCCATCTCATTACAGCACAGGTCTGGAGAGAATGTGTCGTCCGAGGATATTTGTTCCCAGCTGCATTCGTTAGTCTCCCAATCCAGCCAGCCACGATGTTTCACCCAATAATCCCCTCTTGTGGAATAGTAGAATGTGGCCATAGCAAATCTTTGTATCAGTCTCCATTTTGGTAGATCTGGTTGAGCGGTGGTTTGGTTATTGATGTTGTTGACCAACCATTGATAAGCCTTGGACTGAGGAGATCTGGAGTTTTCAAGTGCCTTTAGCGTGTAGTGAGGTAGATTGAGTGACTCCAAAAAGGTCTGTTCTGTTGCAGTGGCTTCCGCAGGATTTGCAGGATTACGACTTGATCCATTTTGATTAGGTGGCTGATTTTTGCTTCCTTGTTTGGATGTCAGCACAACAATTAGGACAATAATAATTGATACAACAACGAAAGCCACAATAACCTCAACTGAGAGTGAACAAAGCAGCTTTTTCCTCCAGTACTGTCTTGATCTCTGGTCGGTTGGAAGTGGCTCTGCATTGGGTAAAAGGCCTATCTGCTGATCATCATCTATAGGATGTGCAATGATTTCATGATCTGCAATTTCTTCAACCCAATTGTCAAGGCCTTCCAAACTTGTACCAGTATTATTACCGGTATTCGAATGATTCTCTCTGTCATTAGCAAGTCCTGGACCATCAATGGCATAGGCACCAGGATTCCTTTGTTGTTGCCTAGAAAATTCGGGTTGCCTTGTTAGCATGGTAGGTGGTGGCACTTGCGGATGATCTGTGGTTCTGTCGTGGCTGCTGGCTCTTTCCCGTTGTGTTGTGCCATTTTTTGGGGTGAGTTCGACTAGCTCCAAGTCTCCAGTTGTCTCAAGACGTGCAGCATCAGCTCTTTCTCTGACAATCTTCATAATATCAAAGCCACTTGTGGTGGTTGATGTTGGAAGAGGAGGGACAGCAGCAGTGGTAGCAAGACTAGGCGAAGAAGAAGAACAGCTCGAGGAACCATCTTGATCATTCGGGGTCTGTGTGGACTGATCCTTTTCTTGAATATCTTCTGAATTTCCTAGCTGCAGTCTCAACTCCACAATCTTGAGAAGATCGACACCATCGCTGTTGTTATTGTTGTTGTTATTATTATTGTTGTTGTTGTTGTTGTTATTGAACATGGTGGTCAATCAACAGATAAAACAATCGATCCAGTGCAAGTAGATCTAACACAGATAACTGGATGCTTCCATCGATAATTGTAATAATCGATATCTTCGTTACTCTGGACACCCTTGTTAAAAACGCGTTCTCACAAAGATGTGGACGTACTCAATGTCGGTATAGGCAGTTAGCGGGAACTATGCGTGGAATGTATTTTTGTTTGTTTGAGAGGAGTCAAACAAATAATACTAAATAGATACAGTATGTGAAGGAGCGAGAGGGGCTAAGCTACTGGTAGGCAGAGCAGTGGCTGCGGTGGTGTGCGGGGGATGGAACAGATCGATGTCAGAGGTCAAGGAAACACGGGAGGGGCGATGCGGTGGTCAGCAATCTTCTGTGCTTCTGTGTCGCAGCCTCTCTATGCCAAATCAGCTTCCGTAGATAATTTCCCTACTCGTATTCTAAACCCCGGTTACAAGGAGAGCAAAGCAAGCGCATCTTTTTCTTCAGAAACTCTAACCCTTGCTGGTTGGAAGATTATGAGATGTGTTGAAAAGGTGTGAACTTGAACGCACAATTTCTCTAATTTAATCAATATCCTTCCAGCTCTACTGTCTAGTAGACTGGCTATTCGTTTCGTTTTCTCTTTCTCTCTCGTTCAGATTGTGAGCTCTACAACTGAGCTCCGATATGCATACATATACCAGGATCTTTCGATCCTCTGCTTCTCGCAGTTTCATCTACAGATAGATCTCGTCGATCTATCTTCCTGAAGTGCATGGTTGGCCCTGGAGGGCTTTCCCACTTTACTAAACCTATGGACCTTCATCCGTCCATTCATTTGCTCCACCCGTCGCTCCTTGCATTCATCTCTTCGACCTAACTTCCTAACCTTTGTAGTTGCATCATCTAGACGACCATTGTCCTCGTTCCTCGTACACCTGGCCATCTGATGATGATCGGATAACCATCTGATTTGAGTCACACATCCCCAATCACGAACCGTGATTGTGGATCCCGAGTCGTCTGTCCGTCATACGAAAATACCTTTCTGACCCTTCCTGTTTTCGCGGTGATGGCAGCGACCTTCTTACAACTCAAACCAATTGCTCCTTGTCTCCTGTTAGTTTCGGTCATGTCTGTCGAGGGTCTCGACGTTGACATTCTTGGTTCCAATGTCGCTCACTTGTCTTCCGAGCGAACAAAATCAATCTTCACTAGGCCGTCCTGCTGCATTGGTTCACGTAGTGCCACCTCGTATCCATGCCTTGTTCGACTTGCAATTGTCTTGTTCTCTGACAAAAGATAGCACCTACGTTACGATCTTCACTTGCACAGTAGTTCCACGTTGATCTGAGGAAATTCAGAATCTGCGCGATGAAAGGGACTTCTCGTACTGCTTCGCCACACGCTAGAACTCAGCTTCGGAACTCGACAATGCTACGACCTTCTGTAGCTTGGACCTCCAGTGAATGAGTACAACTTCGAGAAAGATCATCATGGCGTGACGATCTTCTGTTGTTCTTGTCTCGGCCCAATCCGAATCCGAGAATAATTCCAATTTCCACGGTCCTTCGTTCTTCTCTGGTCTCCATCAAAAGTCCACGGTTCTTGAGTCCAACACGTACTTACACAGCGTAGCATTTCCTTGTACGCTGCCGGCGTTGCCATCCCAAGACTTAGCTAGCTCTCGTACCCGTTCGAGATTTCTTGCCTTGAATGCTTGATAAGGTACATGAGCATCCTATCCTGTTCGATATCTGCTCTGTTGTTCTTCAGCGATCATTCACTCTGTTCGTCTGTCTTTACTATTCCGATCCAGGTGTTCCCGCAGTTTGTACTTGGTAGCTTCTGTACCTCCTTTCCGAATGTGGTTTGAATCTTCTTAATCATGTGGGGTTGTCCCACCCATGCAGCATCCTTTCGGGGATTCATCCGATCTCACAGCTCAGGTAGTCCGTGAGTTCGTACTCTATGGTCATGTTCAGCCTCGATCTTTAATCCTGAGCACTTCCTTGATATCGTCTTCTTTTCCAATGGTGAGATTGTCATCCACGTAACATAGAATCACGCATATCTTCCCATTTTGTTCCGCATGAAGAGGATGGATCACTAGGACATGTAACGAATCCTAAGTCTTCCAAGACACTCGCAAACTTCAAGTAGTACTGTCGTGCGCTCTGGCAAGCACCATAGATGGTCTTGTCCAGTATGAACATTCGTCGTCTTGGTGTTCTAGTCCTTTGGGCAGTCCATGTAATGACTACGTCCATGTCTCCATTAGGAATGCTGTCTCAATTCGAAGATAATTGCTTCCTCTTCCCATCTTCTTTAGTAGTAGAATCAAGATGATGCGGAAGGTGATGTCGTTAG